GGGTCGGGACTGAGTTGACAGTACCTAGTAACAAGAACAAGAACAGGAACACAAATATCACAGAAATGTCAAGGAAACCAGAAAGGAGAAGACCAGGGACAGATGAAAGGATTCATCACAAGAGCCTGCGGACCGAGGAGCCATGGGTCCCGGGGAGGGATGCCAGACCTCCATGCAACCCGGGTAACCATGACAGCTTCCTGGAGGAGGTGACGTTCGGCCTGAATGATGAAGGATGAGTGGGAGTTGGTCAGAGGCACAGTGGGGCTGGACGAGGGGGCATGACAACCACAGAGGACTGGCAGAGCGGGGTCTGGGGGTCTGAGAGGCTGGGGTGATGGCCAGGTTTGAAGGGCTCAGCCCATGAGGCGGGTCCGTGGTGGCGCAGAGGGGAGTGCTAACCCACCAGCAGCTCTAAGGGAGAAAGACAAGGCTGTCCACTTCCACGGAGATTTGCAGCCTCCAAGACCCCATACAGGATGGCTGGGCAGCAGAATTGACTGGAAACCAGTGTGGTTTGGGTGGGTTTCTTATGCCAGGGGCTCCCGACATGGAACCAGATCGAACTCTGGCCTTAGGCCCAGATCCCACCCTCCCATTCGCTTCTAGATTGACTGTCGGCCAGTGGCGGCCCTTGTAGCTGAGGCCCAGCTGGGCAGACGCAGTGACCGCCAACAGCGATCCACAGAGAACGTGTGCAGGAGTGGAGGCGTTGCATCAGAACGCGTACGGACAGTTGAGCGCAAAACTAGGTGAGAACCTAATTTACAATAAAAAAAAGTTAAAAGGAAAATGAAATCAGTTAAGAAAAGGAGGGAGGGGGAAAATGGGCAGCTGATATCACGGGCAGCGAATGTACAGATGTGCTTGACACAATGGATGGATGTATGGATTGTGTTAAGAACTGTACGAGCCCCCAATAAAATAATTTAAAAAAAAAAAGAAAAGGAAAAGTGTGCAGATCCCAGCCCCGTGAAGGTGCCCCCACTGGCGGCAGTACGGCGTGTGCAGGCCCGGGTATGGGAGGCTGCTCACACGCCCTAGGCCAAGTGCTGGGTGAGGCCCTGGCTGGCTGGGTGGCTCTGTCCCGAGGGATACTCTCTCCACCTCTACCCCCCAGGCTGGAATCGGGTGCTGTACTTCCTTGCTGTGAGACCTTGGACGGCGTACCTAGCCACTTCGTGCCTCAGTTTCCCCCTGCGTGGTACGTGCGGCTACACGCTCATCTGCCAACGGAAAGGTTGGCGGTTCCAGTCCACTGGAGGTGCCTTGGAGGAAAACTTGGGTGTTCTACTTCTGAAAGCTTCGTCATTGAAAGTCCTTTTTTTCCCGCCGGGGTCACCCCGAGTCAGCACAGGCGTGAGGAGACCTGGCTTTCACAGCATCGTCCTTCTCACGTAAGGCCCGCCTCAGGAGATTGCCCAGTGGGTCATTACAGAAGAGACAGGCTCGTCAGATGAATTTTCTAGACAACTGTACTCGGTCCTCTGAGATCCATCCGCAATGAAACTGTTCTAAACTAGATCACTCCCCCTCGGTGCCGTCATGGAGAGAAGGGACAAAACAATCATTTAAGCTCTTCTGAAGAACCTGAGTCATGTGCCCGTGGTTACCGCTCCGTAAGACAAGTCACAGCCCAGACACGGAGGAGTGGGTGCGGGACCAGCCCACCACTGGTCCCAGGCGGCCACTCTTCCTCCTCCTCCTTTGCTGTGCACCTGACCCTGTGTTAGCGGGCCGGCCTGCAGTGGCACAAGCAGCCCTCCCTCTCCAGAGGCAAGAGCGCGTGCTACCACAGGGTCCCAACTGAGAGTCCAGAGGCCTTGGACGGGGCATTCCTGTGAGCTTCCCAGATGCCCGGGTTCCCTCCTTTGCAGGTGTGACTGCTGTGAGGTCACTCCTCAAGACCAGGCCTGACTCAGCCAGCACAGCCGTGGGCCCATGCTCCATCATACGAGCCCTTGAAGCTGTGAGCTGAGTTCTTGGGTGTATCGGTTCCAGCTCATATGGACGCTGTGCACAACGCCATGACAACGGCCCAGTCCAGCGACATCCTCACCATCATCCTGTGACTGAGCCCATGGCGGCAGCCACGGGGTCCACCTCTCTCCCGGAGGGGCTTCCTCTTTCTTGCCGACTTTCTGCTTTGTCAAGCAGGATGTCCTGCTTTAGGGCCGGTCCCTCCTGATCACACGATCCTCACAGAACTCGGGACGGAGGGTTACCCTCCTGGCTTCTCAGGAGCATGCCGGCTGTTCTTCCTTCCAGACAGATCCGTGCGGAGGGCCCTGGTGTAGTCAGGATCTCTTGCCAACACCGTCACTCACAGGCATCGGTTCAGGGCCTGTATTCCTTACTCACGGTCCGGTTTTCACAAGCAACTGAGGCGGCGGCGGCAGACGCTGTGGCTTAGTCCTTTGTAAAACCTTCACAAGGTCTTTCACGCAAGATTTTCCCAAGGTGAGACATTGTATGCTTTCTCCACTGCTGCTCCCCAGGGGCTGTGGGGGTGGCATACACTCACAAAACACCCATGGCGGCACCGATTCTGCCCCGTGGTGAGGACTTTTGCTTTCTGGATGCTGAGGTGTGATCCAGAATGATCTTTATCAGTAAGTGCCTGAAGTCCCCCTCACTTTCTGCAAGCATATCGCGGGTTGAGAATGGCCTTCCTCAGTCCTGTCCCGGCGCCCTTCTGCGTCTGGCCCAGCTTCTGCCCCGTTTGCTCCGCACACCCATTGAAGAAGCGCGGTCAAAGGACACAGCCCTGACTCCCACCTTCCCCAATTGCACACCACACAGTATCCCCTTGTTCTTGCAAACGGCTGCCCCTCGGTGTAGGCCGGGCACAGGTTCCCCCTGAGTACAACGATGTGTTCTGGAATCGCCACCCTTCGCCAAAGTATCCGCAATCTACTGTGAGCCACGCAGTTGAATACCTTTGCAGTCAGCAAAACACAGGTAAACATCTTCTGGCAGTCTCTGCTTTCCGCCAAGATCTCTCCGACGTCCACAATGAGGTTCCTCGTTGCACATCTGCTGCTGAATGGTGCTCGTGTTTCTGGCTGTGCCAACGTTACCTGAGAGTAAACGGCTCTGCGGTTCAGCTCAGGCCTGCCGGCCGACACACATCATCCACACCCAGGAGATCCACCAGGAGCAGGTGCGCACACCAACGAGCTCTCCCACTGCCCACACACTGGGGGCCTGGCGGCAGGCCGGGGGATCAAAGTGCACCCTCCATGTTCTCTGCCCACACCCCCACCCCAGCGAAGGACAAGCCAGCAAGTCGGAGGAGCTGCCTGCTCCTCACGGGGAGACCCAGTTCCAGGGAGCAGGGCAGAGTCCCTTCACCAGCTCTGCAGAACCCCCTACTGCTCGGGTGCTGTGAGCCAAAAGGGCAGTGCAGCCCCCTTCCTGAGTGGTAACCACAGGCCGGGGCTTCGCAGAGACGTGGGGGTGGAATCCTTTCTTCGGGGCCCACTGGACTTTTGACAAG